ATCAGGCACACTTTAGCTGTTTTTAAAGGAAATGCCATCTAAAATGGTCTTATGAGCAGGTTGGTTTGTGTAGAAAAGTTAAAATCTAACTGGTGGGAAAAATTGCTAATAGGATCAGTGTCATGGAAATGGAAGATACAGATTTCTCTACTAATTAGTCATAAAGGTGAAGCTTTCTTACGTGTCCCGTGACTACTTTGGTACAAAAAGGTTTGTATAATGTTTGTGCTGCTCTGATGGAATGATTGGGTTTAAAAGAGCAGAATCTTACCTACGTGACATTGATGCAGGTGGCCTTCATATTTCTTGAGCCAGATGCTAGATTCATGTTTTTATTTTACTTGAACAGTGTCAAATTGCCTGCATGCAACTTTGCTCTGTGGATAGTTTGCCAGCTTGGATACGAAGGTAGAACAAAAACTTTTCACTTGCCTTCCTACCTAGCCCTAGACGTATTTACACTTCAAAATATTTACTAATTGGACTCTAATTCAGCTGATGAGCCTGATCCAGTATGTGGACATTGGAAATATTAACCATAATGCACGTAGCTTTGTCCCTGGCACAATTTTGAGTATGCTGTTTTCTAAGGAACTGCTAAAGGGAACGCGCTGTGCAGGACTGTTGCCTGCACATGCTGCAACAGGTTGCTGCAGTTTATAAAGGTGTACTCATGACAAAATGCTTTTTGATTTCTCTAACAGCATATTTTCCTCTTTTGAAGTAGTTACTATTTGAATAAATGAAACAGAAACCAGGTCGATGGGGGGTGGGGGAATTAAAAAGTCTACTTTTAGGTTTTTGATAGAATATTGCCAGCTCTATTTCATCACTGCCTGCATATTACCATTTTCATGCTTCTTTGAAACCCTTCCTTTTTGAGGTGTTGTCATAAACTTTTGCATCACCAAATAGTGCTGTTAAACCATAGCATGCTTACTCCTGCATTTATTCATGTAGCATTTAACTTATCATTATATATTTCTTCATGTAGCACTTGTGATTCATGCTACTTGTAAAGGTAATCCTTCCCTGCCTTCCGCCGACAAGGTCCTTGCTCTCAAAAATCTCCATCCATCAAGTTTTGGAATGGGGAGTTTTCTACTAATGAGAATTGCCATGGTTTTCATCATGCTACAGGCTTAAGATAAGCATGAAATAGTTACAAGTTGTGTGACTGTAATCTTGAGAATTGCTACTGTATTTACTATATAACATACAACTTAGAAATATTGAAACAACCTTGTCCTTGGTTTTAGAAATATTTTTCTGTTGGCGAGTAGGTGTGGCATCCTAGTTCTTAATGATTGTGGAATGCAATTATTTCTGACCTCCTTTAGAAAAGTGATGATATCGTTGTGTGGGAGGATCACTTGGTTCATTGTGTAAGAAAAATGGAAAGCCCCGTACAGGCAGTGAGTGTATGTATCTGTGCTATCCAGCAGGAATAAAAAGTACACCTGCTTCTTGTAAGCACAACCAACCAGTTTTTTTTTTTTTCTACCTGCTAAATTGCTCATGCACACATGATGTAGTAGTATATTATCAAAATGACTCATGATCCATACATGTTGTGTTTCAGATTTCTAATCCTATCTGACAGTAGCAGCAAATACCACGTAGATGTCACATACGGTCTGAGCACTGTGCTAACAGGCATGGTGTAAGTAGAGCTGATTAATTCAGCTTTGGTAAACACTGTCTCAGTCAAACTGACTGTATAACTGTGCATCGTCTAGCTCCCAAAGTTGATTAAACTGCTTCACTGCAGCACTAGGGGGCTAAATATCACAACCAAGTTAGTACAACACAGCATGTGGCAAGAAACCTCATGCAGACTGAGCAAATTGGCCAACTGCTGACTTAAAAGAGCACTTCGTTCACTGTAGGAATAGTCTTGTTCATAGTTAGTCTTAATGTTTGCCTTTTGTATTCATTTTGACAGCAAACAAATCTATTCTCTCAAATCTATATTTATAATTCCTTTCTATTGCAGTGTCCAACTGCCAAATGCATGCTTGATGCTTTTGCTCCAATCAGCTAAGCTTGAGACTTACACACTGCCATCTGATATATACAGTAAACTTGCTGCTGCTTAGCATTCTCAGCCTTTTATCTATAGGTTTTAAAATATGGTAGTGATACCTACCATGTGTATAGATTTTGCTTTACTTACACCATGCATATAGTACAGTCTATGCTCAGAGAAAAAGATGTGTAGGAAATCATAGAAGTTTAAAAACTCTTCTTAAAGTCAAGCTGAATGGCACTCTTTGAACTGATCTAATACGATTTTAGAAGTATTTTAAACTTGATGAAGCTGTTGTAACACTATAAATTGCTTAAACTGATTGTTAATGCCAAGTCCGGCTCATGGGAAGGAAGAGCCTCTGATTGCAATATAGGATGGAGATAGAAGGGCTGGAGGTAGCAGCTCTTCAGGAGAGGCACTGGGAGTGCCAGCAGACAACCAGGCACTTGCAATACAGGTGGCATACCAATTCTCTAGACTGTATTGCCAGGCACATAGCCAGTAGATGGAGAGAAGTGGCTGCTATCCCCTATGAAAACTCAGCACTTCAGTACACTCAATTTTAGGTTTCTGATACAGGGAAGTTAATGATCTATTAGAGGAAGTTCATCAGAGGCTGCCACAGTGATGGTGAGGAGAGAGAGGAGACTGGAACACTTTCCCTGGCAGGAGAGACTAAGGAAATTGAGCTTCTTTCACCTGGACAAGAAGTGCTCTGCTAGTATGTGCGAGGAGGTTATAGGGAACATGAAGTTGGGCTCTTTGCAGTAACTAAATTGAAAAAGTACAAAAAATACGCAGTTTTATTTCTTAAAGTTTCTCATTAAGGGAGCTATTATGTTACTTCAGCATAGATGTCTAAGAAGCAATTTTAAGCTCTCTTTGATATCATTCCTGGCTTTGTGCTGTCTCTTTAAATTGGCATACATTCTCCTGTGTTTTGTACCATGCATACTGTGAGATGTTTTGGATATGTCAATCTAAAATGACCCTGGGTGCCTGTATTTGGATGTCTAAATTGCTTTCTAATGGACTGCTAATTGTCATTAGGTTTCAGATAGTTATAATACTGGATTACTTTGTGCTTTTGATATCTTTTAAGAAGGAGAGGAAGTAAATAGTCGAATGAGAACTTTGGACCTCTAAAATATTACAAGCAGTGCATATACTGAAATAAACAAATGAAGAACCAACAATGGAAAAAAAACCCCACAACCATAATCCTAAAAAAAAACAAATATTGGCACACCCGGATATTTTAAATATTAGTGCTTGAACTTTGAAATACAAATATAGCCAACAATAGTCATTTATTGTAGAAAACAATCAAAGTTATTTTTTTGCTTGAAACATAAACCTTTTCACATTAATACCTATGTTTTTCATTATTTGCTTGCTTGGTTTAATAATGCTTTGCATTTGCACAGGATTTTTAAGCTTTATTTGTAGTCAATATGACAGATGTTGAGATAACTCTGAACTGAGTTGTGGTATGAGTTGCACTTGTAGGTCTGTTAGGTGAGACTGTCAGGCTTTGTTTTTGCTGAAACTGTCCTACAGTGCTTGCCAAAACAGGGATGGTGAATGGGATCCTACAAGCCAAACTTATTTATGGTGAATGGAGCTCAATTTGAAGAACTGGTTATGAGATCGTGCTGTTTTATCACTGTTGTGGGAAGAAGTGAAATAAGCTACAGGAAGTCACAATTGAAACAAACAAACAAACAAAGTCCTACAGCAGTGTTGCATCTGGATAGAACCAGGTTGCCATGAGGATACAGGCTTTGTTTTGGGGCAGCATGTAGGTTGTTTGAGAAAGTGCTTCTTCTGAAGAGCAAGTGAGGTGATTCGTTCTAAGGTTGCTTTATGAAATACTAGCTAAGACTGAGTTTTCACTGTTTAATTTCCTAAGACATACTGTCTTAATACATTTGGTTTTGCAGCTGATGGATAATACAGCAAGTAGAAAATTGCTAAATCTTTTGAGAAATTATTCAAATGTCTGCATTTTTTGCATGCTGCATTTCTAAGACTATGTCCTTTCTGGGAAGTTAGAGTAGGAGTTCTGCATGTCCCTCTCAAAAGGCATATTTCAGCCTTGAAGCTCCCAAGATAGCATTTTGAAGGGTGCGTTCATCCATATAGTATATTAGCAACTGCTGTGAGCATTGCTTTTTAACTCTATGTGGGACACTTTCTAGTGTTCGCTTTTAATTCTTCCTCTGTGTTAGCATATTACAGATGGTTTAAAACTTTAAAAGGAGGTGGTTTTTTTTCCCCATTGGTTTTATCATATTCAGTGTAATATTGGACAATTTCAGATTAGAACTACTATAAAAAACTGCAAAAATCCCTCAAAAATATTTCATAAGACTTGATGGTTTTTAGACACTATCTTCCTCTAGACAAAATGGTGCTGTATTCCTTGAAAGAGGAATATTTTCAAATCTTGTGTAAATATGCAAATAAATTATATTTGCTGTTAGTCTCTATTAAGGTTAACATAATGGAAGGCAGTTTTCCCATACTGTGATTAGCCAATCTATGGCATTTAGTAAATTTCTGTTTCATAAAGTGGTTTTCCCAGGACCCTTGTAAAAGTTGTAGTAATATGAGTATCAGTAACAGAATGTACTGGTAAGCAAGGAAGAAGCATACCTAAAGGAAAAAAAAGGTGGAAGAAGATGAACAAAGAATGAGTAATTTTGTTAGGATTGTTCTTACAGCTGTATGAAAGACATCAGTGCATAGTACAGTAGGAGAGGAGTTTGTAAAGGGTATAAGTAGAAGGTATGGAATTAAAAATACTTAATATTCTGTCAACTTACATAAACTAGTCTTGTTGAACTTATCTTTTCTTTCAAATACTAAGGGAAGTTGCTGAGGGGTGGGGGAGATGTCAAATGAAATGGCTGTAAGTGTATTATGTAACAGAGTTAATTTCGACCTACGCTCTGCTTCTCTGCAGAAGAAGTTGAAGAAGAGTCTGAAACTACAATTGAGGTTGACTTGACTGATAAACAGAAACATCAGCTGAAACACAGAGAGCTCTTTCTTTCTCGCCAGTATGAGTCTCTTCCAGCAACTCACATCAGGTAAGAATTAAATATTGCTTATCTGTATTCTGTTGAGCTGGACTGCTTGCCAGTAGCCCAACCATTTGAACACTTCAGCCTTCATCTTGCGAAAGGGAGTGTTTGGGTACAGCTTAGTTGTGCCAGGTAGAGCCATGAATTGATTTGGTACCACCCTCAGTATTGCCTTTTGTCTCTTCGCATTTAAGCCTTGAAAGGGACAGTCATAGACAGAACTCTAGCTTGCAAATTGAAACATCAAGTGATCATGTTGTACAAAGTCAGACTGTGCCTACTTTGGAGGGGTGTTCTTGATTCTTCTTCTGCTGTCCAAAGGAAATATGACCATTTTGTTTGCCTGGGGAAACCACAGATGGGTTTAGAAAGGAACAGTGACTCAGTGGTCAGATCTGCATTGTAGTGCTGCACACACTTAAAAATAAAATTACCTCAACTTACTTTAGTAAATGGGAAGAAGTCATGATTGAGTTTGGCTAAATGTTTCAAGTATTGTTTTAGATTACCACGATGCGGATAATCTATGATAGCAAGAAGAGGCTTGATAAAGCTAAAAAAAAAAAAAAAAAAAAAAAAAGTTTTGAATGTCTTTCTGTAAGTATTCTAAGTGCCCAAGTAATTTTTTATTTAGGAGTCAAACAGTTTTTTGGGGGGAAAAAGGGGAAGTTTTAGAGAGGGGAAGAGGGGAATGTATCTGGAAATAGAAGAGAGTAATCAGGAGCATAATGGAAGAGGAGTGTGGCAAGTGTAAAACAAGAATTCATACAAGTTTGTATTCCAAAGGAATTTTTAGTTTCTCAGTACATCCATCTCCCTTCAACCATTTCAGGCTGTTTTCTTCAGCTAGAAAAAAAAAGTAGTTATATGCTCCAGTAAGAGAGAATATTTGTATGTCCATATGTACTTTCTCTTTCTCAAACGTGGCTTCTTATCTTTCTTGCTGCCAAAATAAAAACTGGAAGTTGGGAATTATTTATTAATTTCCTGTGCTTGATTCATCCACTTGTTCTCTGACTTGGAGAAAATCATTCAGATGTCAAATCTCTGCTTTCCCAAATACAGCATAGAGATAGTAGTCCTGCAGAGTTTCTTTCACTTACTTTGACATTTAAATATTGAAATAAGGTATTCTCTATCCCGAGAGAAGGTTATAGTGAAGCAGTATTGTAAATGTCTTCTTACCTTACTACTCAGGGAGGAAGAAGAGATTCTTCAGTACACATTTCACAAAGAGTCCATATGAATTCATGGTACATGCAGCATTGCACAGTGGGCACATACAGTGGCATGACTTGAATAACTTTTCAGAATGTTTAAATGCTGCAGTGCTATACTGTCATTTGCTAATAAGACCTTTACCAGATGCGTTCTGGAACAAGTTGTATGTATTTTAATGAATTTTTAACAAACACCTCTCCTACAACATAGTTCTTACTGAGCATGTTAACTTATGAACATTCACAAACTCAGCTCTTCTTGATTGTTTATGTAAATTTTATCTGTGATCTTTTCCTATAGAGTGAGGATTGAAATACTGTGAAGGCAGTGCTCCTGCACCTTTTTCCCAATAGATAGTATTTCAGAAAAAGATTTTAGAGCTGTGGAATAGTATGCTGTTGAAGAGACATCTCTAAGGTCATCTAGTCCAGACTCCTGCTGAAAGCAGGATCAACTTATATCAGGCTGTTGTGGCTTTGTCTGGTTGAGTTTTGAATGTACCCAAGGATGGAGATTGCAAAGTCTTTCTGGATGTCTGTTTCAGTCTTTCCTGACATCTATTTGGGGCTATTTGGAACTTCCTGTTCATTGCTTCTTGTCCTGTTACTGTGCTTCCCTGAAAATAGCCTCTCTCATTTATTTACTTCTTTAGGTAGTTGAAGACAGCACTAGGATCTGTCTGTTTCCTTAAGAGTGTGTGAATGATTACTCTTAAGATGTGAAACTGCTGGCCTTTGTATTAGCACTTGGGAGGACCAGTAATCAGCTGCTGGTTGGACTTTGAACCACTCATTTCAACCTTTTTAGCCTGATGTGCCAGCTAGTTTTCTTCCAACCTTATTGTCTGCTTATCTACCCTGTATGTTACTGGTCTGGTTAATATCCAATATAGGACATGCTATAGGCTTTGCTGAAGTCACAGTAAAGGGCATTTGTTGCTGTCACTAGTCCACCAAACCAATATTCTCCATGTGGAAAGACTCGCACACTAAAAGTCTCAGTAGCTCTATTCTGTGGACTTTGGTTAGTTGTCACTATCTGTAGTTTTTACAAGAGAGAATAAATAATATGATAGAATGGAATGTAGAACGGAGATAAATTCTCTCAAGAGTAAGAAGGCAAGTTCAATCACTTCAGAAGGAAGAGGGGAGAGCTAAAAGCAATAGAGGAGGCTGAATTATCTGCAGTTGCTCTTGGTAACTACAGATCTTGAACTTTTACTGGCATCTTCAGCAAAGGGAAAAAAAAACAAAACAATTCTTTCTGTGTAATTCAAGGCAATAAAATCATTTTAATTTTAACTCAGACGGCAGAGAAAATGACATTGTTTCCCTTCCATCCCTCCCTCTGAAGAAACCCACTCATGACTTATTTTATTCTAATTCATAATTAAAAACACAACAATGTCTCTTTTGCATACTCGATGATACCACTTTATAATTAATGTGCTTTAAATTTATAATAGATTCAATTTCTTTGTTGTACAAATAATCCTGAAGTTGTATGGCCTGTAAAGTTGTGTTGAATAATTCTGATGTCATTTGTTTGCTTTTAAAACTTGTAATACAGTATCAGTCCATATTCCCATACTCTGTATTTTGCAACACACATTACATGTAATTTTCTTTAAATATAATTCATTTTGATATAAACATATATTTTTTTAATGTTGTTTGTGTTTTATGTTAGGTGATGCTCACTGCCATTTTAGTAACTTTAGGAAGTGGTAAACTTTGTGGCTCTAAAAAAAAAAAAAACAGATTTAGAAAATATGCAGAGACAGATACAAGAATCATAAAATATCCTGAATAAGAAGGGAACCAAAAGGATAATTGATTCCAACTCCTGGCTTCACACAGGACAAAACAGATGTGGCAGTGTTGTCTTGTAGCCTCAGTGTTGATGTGGTATAATGTGTTGAAGGAATGTATAATTGCACTGACTTCTGAAATGATGGTATGCAGTGATGGACAGTGTCAAGATGTTCTCATTTGGATTTCTAGGGCTTGTTAGCTTTGTTCCTACCTGTCAAGTTACAAGTGAAACTACTCCTTCCTCTCCTTCCTCAAATGTATAAGATTAGTAACACTCTTCCAGTGATAAGTTACCTCCTTCCTTCCCAATTCTTGCTTATTACAAATGCAGTTTTGCCATGCTCTGTAATCTCCAAATTTTACAATGATGTTATACTGCTGTGGATTCACTGAGCCCTTTCCTTCATTGAGTATGTATACACATCACATAGTGAATGCATGCATAATTCATGGTGCAAATAGTTCATCTAAACAGTGTCAGGTCCCAGTAAGGGACTGAGTTGAGCCAAAGTGCTGTGTATTTTAGCTTTGATTTGCAGAGATTTAGCACTACTAAATATAGCGTTTTGGAAAGTCATGATAAGGCACAGGGAAAAAATTATTTAAATGTTGTCATCATGGTGAGATTGTTGGTTGATGTTATGAAGTGCATCATGCAACTCAGCATGTGGTGAAAAGAATCTGCCAACTATTTGTATAACAATTCACAAAAAAAAAAAATCTCTTTGGAAAGATGCACTTGTTATCTTGGTCTTTGTATTTTCACTTTTCATTGAGGTTTTAAGAGTTAGTAGGCAATTCTTGTAAAAGACTGCATTAATTTCTTAGATTATTTGTGCTTGCTTTTGAATTTAATGCTTCATATAATTTGTGTAAAAACTTATTTAGCCATCAGGATTCACTTTACCATTTCATTATCTTTGCTTGCTACTAGCTAAGTTTTACTTGCTATCTAACAAGTCTGTGTTTCAGGTTTGAGGTTAGTTTTTGGACTTTCTTTTAAATAAACTCTCACTTGCCTTAGCTTTGATGCATAATGAATCATACAACTTTCATTATACTGAGCTTTTCTTCTTTATGATCTTGCCAGACCTTACCCTAGTATTACTACTTTAAAATATGCAGGTATAGAATGCTTTTTTTTCTTCACAATTCTTTTGCATAGAACGCACCAAATAGTCAGAAGCTCAAAGACAGGTAATTGGTAGGATGGAAAAGGTCATTTTATAGTAGCATTGTGACTTTTTAAGGTATGGTATGCTAGGAATTGGTGGTATTATCTTAGGACGTTGTCATTCTCAGCAAACAAGAAGCTTTCAGCAGACAAATGGGTACAAATACGTAAGCTACAAAGTTTAGATAATTTATAAGAGCTTTCAATCTTCTTTATTTTCTAATGTAAGTCAGGCAACTAGATAAATTGAGTGAATCTACTTTGAATAGGCATGTTCTTGGTCATTTGGATTGCTAAGGAATTCTTCCTTCCTGGATTGAGTTTATTTAGAGAAAGGTGGCTTTTCCAGCATGTCTGATGCCTGTTAGTTTTGTTGTGGTGTTGTTTATTTTTTTTTCCTTTGGCAGTAGAATTTGGAGAATTGTTACACAGGTAAGATTCTGGTCTAGATTGTAATTTTGCCTTGCTCTCAGTTGTGGTCAATAGCCATTAGTAATAACAGAGTATAAGAAAAAGGTATGTTTATTGGTAGAAGACTGTCAGTTAAATGTAAGAAAATTATAGTTTTTCCCACAGTGACATAATTGCCAAGTCAGAATATTTCCTGTAGTGCAAAGCTTATATAGTTCAGGAGCAATGAGTGTTGCTTCCAGGCTAGGTGACCCTGTAATATCATGCAGAAAAACTGTTCCTAACCAGCCTCCCATGGCTTTCTTAGATACATGTGTATTGCTGCTTCTCTGTTAAAAAGTAGTTTATTTTCCTTTTTAGACTGAATTAATCTCTGAGGAAAAAAG